ATGGCATAATGAGAAGTCCTCTAGATCAGAAGTGACAAAGCCCGCGGCCAGATCCCCGGCATGACCACACTTTGCAGATAATTATGTTCCTGATCAATTCACTTATCTCCTCTGGTGTTCATTTTCTTCACTGGTGAAATGAATGAGCTTGGGCTATGGACAGGGGAAGACAAATGAATCCTTAGATGATGATGAACCAGCACAAGAAATACCCCTCTTTTCGTCCCTGGCACAGAACTCAGTATCTTGTCCATTGCCGCCTCTATGCATGCAGGCGGTCTGTCCCTCAGCATTCTTTGATGTTCATTCCAATGGGTGCAAAGGTGATATTTTGTTACCTTGCACAGAGGCCTCTATCTAGTCCACTGGGCTTCAAGAAAACTTGATTCAACATTGAAAGCTAGGAGATATCACATAATGATCCAGATGAAACCCGACAAGTCTGGCCCTGTTGACTTTGCATTGCCACTCGGCCGAGGAAGTGCAGGAGCCCAGTAGCGTCCCTTCTGCAGGGCTCCCCACCTCCCCACCCCCCACCCCAGCTCTCAGGGTGATTCCGACTTTGAGCATTGCTTGCCATTCATCCCATACTTATTGTTAACTTTCATTTAAAAGAGAAATATTTCTCCTTCCTGAGCCTCTATCAGAAGTAGGGGAACAGAAGACAGCCCTATAAGTCTGCTTACTGCATGGAAAGAGGATGAGTGTATTCCTTTGTTGAAGTGTTTAGTATAAAATACCTAACCTCTTTGGTTGTTTATCTTACAAGCCCCATCCCTTTAGCAACAGAAACTGCCCTGCTTTAGAGGATCAAAACTATCCTTCTAGAAGTAAGACTATAGGGAGATACCCAAACAGCATGTTGACAGTTTTGCTATTTTTGGTCTCAGCTAACATGCACATGCTGTCTAATTTTTCTAGGCTTTAGAATTTTCTTGCATAAAATGAAAATGGTAGACTAACTTATAGTTAAGATACCTCTCAGTTTAAAATACCCTGCTTTTAAAGTTTTCCTTCTTATGAGGAAGTTCCTGAAACAGTACCATCAAAAATGTGTGCCGTGTTAAAAGCAGTATTCATGGTCTTGGTCTTTGGGTTTTTTTTTTTTTTTTCCCTGCAGCCTAAGGCAGATTTCAGTGGTGGCATTTGGCATTTGTCAGGTTGAAATTATATAATGTGGATATCATAGCTTCAGTATAGACATTCTGCTCAGAGTTAATATGTGCCTTCAAAACGCTATTATCAAGAAATCAACCAATAACAAATGCTGGAGGGGCTGTGGGGAAAAGGAACCCTTCTCAACTGTTGGTGGGAGCATAGACTTGTGCAACCACTGTGGAAATCAATGTGGAGATTCCTCAAAAAATCTAAAATTAGAGGTTCCATTTGACACAACTATTCCCCTCTTTATATCTTCCCAAGAGAATTAAAAGCATCATACCACAGTGATATATGCACAACTGTGTTTATAGCAGCATAGTTTGTAATAGCTAAATCTTGGAAATAGCCCAAATGCCCATCAACTGATGAATGGATAAAGAAGATGTGTGTGTGTGTGTGTGTGTGTGTGTAGAAATTATACAATGGAGTACTACTCTGCCATAAGGAAGGATAAGCTAAAGACATTTCTGGCTACATGGATGCACCTGAGACCATACTCTCAAGTGCAATAAATTGAACACACATGTAAATATCACATTGTTTCTCTGATATGAGAAACTGAAAGTGAAAGTAAGGACCAAAATGTATAATAGATATTGTGAAATAGGAAGAAAATGTTGAAATGGGAAGGGGAGCTAGGGAGGGGGGAAAGGAAAAGGAGGGAAGGAAGGGAAGAGAAAAAAAAGAAGAATAGAAAGAAAAAATGGTACAATGCTTTTGTAAATAGGGAGGGGAAGAAGGCTGGAAGGAAGGGGAGGAGAATAGGAGGAAAAGAATGAAGGTATATATGTGCAGGTACAAATCCCTAGATGAATGTGATCATTATATCTAAAATGTACAAATTAACTAGTTAAAAATATGTTTGCATCATGCATCTGTATTTCTGAATTGATGAGGTCAAGGCACTGGCAAGTCTTCATTAGTTAACAGTACTTCAAGTCCTTTGCTGCTAATAATAGCTAAACAACTAACACTTGCTAATGGGGAGTCAGAAAGGATTCAGGAATATCGCCAGGGAAAGATCCTCTCATTCTCCTAAATCCTGGTATGATTATTACAAAAAATATCAAAGAAGCCAGGGCTACCATCTTTCTATATGAATACACATAGGACTGATAGCCACTGGTACAGAACTTTTAAAATGCCAGTTTCTGGCTTCTATATCTAGATAGTCTGAATTAATCGATCTGGTGCACAGCCTACAAAAAGCAGCTTTAAAATATCTCAGATTCAAGTGTGAAAAAAATACCATTCTCATAAAAATAAATTAATTTCTACACAATGATCACTGACAAAGGATTCAAAATATAATACAGTGAGAGCAACTTAGTATTGTTAGTTTTTTTAATATCTTTTTTCTCTATTTAGAATATAACGTATTGGATATCATACCCTTTTCTCAACACTGGGTAACAGTAAAGTTTCTGCAACATTGTACAACATTATTTTGAATCCTTGGTGATTGTTTTCTAATATGAGCTAAGGAGTTTCAGATTAGTTTTTCTCCAGGTTTATTACTTAGCATAATTTTTATGTTCATTCAGTCTTTACAAATACATAATGTAACATAATCTACTGTGTACACCTTGGACAAGCTAAAAATTGCCTTTAAGCTTAGCTAATTGGAAAGGTAGACAGTTCAACTGCATAATAGTTTCTTGTTTTGTAAAAGGAAAATATTTCCCAAAGTAAAAATTGCTGGAAGTTTTAAAACCTCTGTGCATGAATCACATCCAGTAGACTGTTCTCTGTTCAGAAATCCTATCACCGTATGGTAGAAGGGAAAGTTGTGAATCTAGAATTTATCCAGTTCTGTACTTTTATTTTACAGATGCAGAGACAGAGGTGCTTAGTTATAATTGATCTGTGCCTCTTTGTAGAGCCAAATGTAAAACTCATGTACAGTAATCTGGGCCAGGATTCTGTCTCCTGTGCCATTCAGTTCCCACAAGTTCCCCCATTTCAGTGAAGCATCCATTCTGCCATTTTAACCTTTCCTAGAAATTTGATGCAATGTAGTATATATGGGAAAGTCTTAAATAATGGTTCTGTCATAGTGTGGTATCTTTGCATGTGATATATATTCTGAGTTAGAAAGAATGAGTGCAGATTTGCTCGGATTTCTCTGTAATTAACTTCCAAATAATACTTCCAGACCACGTGCCAGTGCATGCCCAAAATAAATATGTTAATCACATCTTTGGTTGTTTTTTATGGTCTTCTACTGCTGCTGTACTAATACTTTTCCCATCTCCAACTGGCTTTACTTTTTGCAGCTTTGAGCAGTAATTCAGTCCCCTACGCCTCCCTGATTGGCTCTGTGTCCTCCCTCTCTAGCCAAACCACCACTCAGTCCATATATGATAATAACTCCCTCCCACGATTCGCTCGAAAAGGTCTAAACATCTTTGTCTCTATTATTTTCTCTGTTAAAGCACTGTAACGATGTCCGCATCAGTCCATTCCATTCCCAGATAACCCTAATGTCTCTGTGCCTTTGCATTTCCATTCCTTTTACTGGGGAGTACCTCAGCTGGATAAGATCACTTCAACTATCAGGGCAATATCACCCACCCACTTCCTCTACACAGTGAAAATTAGTTCAGTTCTACCATCTATCCAGAAAAGTTTCAGAAAGAGCTCCAAAATTTTGGTCCAAATGTATAATTAAATCACCAACAAAGAGTTTCTCTTTCTAACCAACTCGTTTTCACTGGACCTCCACTGAGGTTTGAGCTAACTGGAATCAGACCTTCACAGCCGCTGATACTAAGCCAACACAACTCACAACACTGTGCTAAAGGATACTCTTGAAGAAATGAGGTAGCTTTTCACTTAGTTTGCCAGAACCATTGATAATTTGGCATTTGAGATAAAGGAACTTACTGGGTAAGGTCCAATAATGGCTCGATTTCTCAAATGCCCATCAAATAATCATGTCCCGTGGACTTAGTGGTCATTCCTCCACAGCCTACATGGTTCAGAGGGTTTCCCTGGCAACACAGTGCCAACATGGCTTCCAGTTTGAGTTCTTCCCTCTAAATCTTTCTACCTCAGAGACTTCCCTGGGGCATGCTAGTTCAGATTTCTCTAGCCAGCTGAATCTTGTGTTTCTAAGGTATGAGTCAGCAATGCTTTGTCATAATTATCTTGCAGGACTAATCAAAATGAAACAAAATACAAATCCTATGAAAAGTGAGAAAACAGAAAGACACAGCAATTACCCAAATTAACTGTGGCTTATTTTTAACAATGTCTATGAATTCAGTACATCTTCAGCTGGCCCTCTGAACTATGATGTGTCAGCCCAATCTCTGCTTTCTTTACTTTTTCCACCTTTTTCCCTTCCTGATCCTTCACTATGTGCTCATTTCCCTGAGTTCATTTTCCATCAGTGGACAAAGATGCTTACACCTGAAGTAGATTGTAGGTTTACCCGAGGTTGAATGGTGGGACCTGGTGGGAAATACTGTAATGTTGTTTATGTGGCCCTTTATAAATGTCCGGGAGAAGGCTGCAACCTCAACCTCTACAATCTGCTACTAGTGGAAACATTTTTGAAGTTGAGTTTGCTGTCTGGTGTGTCGTCGGTGATTCTTGTCAGTGAGCTGTGGTGCATGTCATTTTCTGTGTCCATGTTTGCATGTGAATGTCAGTCACCTACAGGCTTGTGAACTCGTAAAACAATCTTAATTGGTTAATCTAGTCACAACGTATGGTGGATCCTGCAAAAACTTGCCACAATTTTTACTGGCCTTTGGAAAGTACACCAGGGCATCCATTTCATCGTTTTCAACAAACTCACTTTTATTTTATTCACACCATCCTTTCCCTTTCAGGTTCAGATGATTCCGGTTACCCTGGTAACCCTCATTCTTCAAGTTAGTTTTCCTTGATTATGCATCACTCACTTTATGTTCCCTATCAAGCTACTACTCTTTTCCTTTTAGGCCTTTCTAAGTGTCTGTTTCCTTAGTTCACATTATACCATTGAATTCCACGCAGTTTCCATTTCACACGGTGCAGGAGAAGGAGTTTGAGATGACATAAGAGTCATTACTCAAAGCAGAGGTTGACATCAAGCCTCACTCTGTTTTCTCCACTAGCTAACCGCATTGCTTCACGATAACATTTTCTTTTAACTAGGAAGACTTAGTGTGGGGCTTATGCTTGGTGATTTTTCTATTTGGCCACAAAATCCACCCCTCCAGAGCATGTCCTGCTTTGAGTAACCAAACTGTCTGCCTGCTAAAACATCTGTACTACTCACATATTTTCAGGCCATTTCTAACGACAGTATTCTCTGTATTTTAGAAGAGTTTACATCATTTTTATTTGTTTTCAAGTGCACTTCTTCTTTCCTTGTTTAATAGGTATGGCCAGCCATCCCCCAATACCTATCTTGGAACTTGCCGATCACATTGAAAGGTTGAAAGCCAATGACAACTTGAAGTTTTCCCAGGAATATGAGGTAATTCTCTATATTTGTGCTTGACACTACTTTCAGGAGTTGCTGCCCTCTTCTTTTTGATCAGATGCTTGAAAATTAACACCAGTGCTTTTTCTTTGAAGTATGACTTGGAATATGCTATAAAAATGTCTAATGTGTACCAACTTGAAAAGTGTTTTTTGCATTTTTTAATGGAGTACTTGCATTTTTTAGAGGTGCTATTTTATGTTTATTCAGTGTTACTTCATGAGATTGATGAATTGTTTTGGTTTTAAGTTCATAAAACATTCTGAATTGGTGAGCTTCATGCTATATAACATAGCTGCCACATATTTGATTTATGGTGAGAGTTGCCATTGAGAATGAGATTATTGGAATAAATAGATTTCTCAGTATTCTTTGTTTTACACGGCTCAAAACTGCTATAATTAAGGAATACACAGACAGGAGTTTGCTTTTCAGTCTAAAATATTACTAACACTAATTTTAAGATGGTACTGCATTTTTAGAAAGTTGACTATTTATGAAGAATTAGGGAATTGAATGCTATCTTAAGATATCAGAATCCTTAAAGATTCTTTGTGAATTCTTGATGAAGTATTTGTGCTATTAAAATGAAGTCTTTGTGTTATGCATACATGTGTGTTTATGTGTGTGTGTGTGTGTATATATTTGAATATTGTGCCATTTTTAAGCAGGAATTTGCCAAGCTGGGTATTTCTGGTGTTCCACAGAAACAAGACTTTATTCTGTTTAAAGCATTTGGGAAATGGTTTCAGTTTTGAGAAATTCAAAACTGGTTGTCTTATTTCCTCAAATGCTCTACTTTTATTTTTTTCTTCCTCTTCCTCTGGATCATAATTGGTCCTTCAAAATAATGTAATACCCTTTAGAACATTTCTATACTTTCTAGTTTGGGGCTTGAATTTGCAAACTTAATTTTAGCAGAGAAGACGAGGTAAATGATGACCATCATGTCGGGTGATAAAGCAGTCAGTTAAGTGTCAGTTTTCCCCAACCAGAACTTTGTACAGCCCCAGCCTGATGTTTATTGTTACGATAATGCTTTCTATTTTGCTGTGTGATATTCTTTTCATGGCCCTGCTCTAATTCTTCACTTGTGACTATGAGTAGAATAAAGGGTAACAAAAAGATAAAATTGTGACAGCTCAATTGCTGATCAAGCCATTAACTCACCACCAGTATAACCTCCCACCGTTCATAATAATGTGTATTTGCATTACTCAAGTAATTTCAGTCGTATACATTGAGTGCAATGACTGGTCTCCTTTAAATATAGAATTTCTCAAGAAATGCTATAAGGAAAGCTTCTCTAATAACCCTCATTTAGCCATTGGATCACAAGTGCTCCTCAAAAATAGTTATGAACTACATGCTGGCAAGGCTCTCATTTAACAATTCCCCCAGTAGCCTTAGCCATTGACATGATAGCCCACACTGCGTCTTTGCCATTGATCATGACGATGATCTGTGATTACAGCTCCCTGGGCATGCATTGACTGTTCCGTGCCTTAACAGCCATGAAGGAGATGCTTAAACGCTGTTCTCATTCGTGGTAATAAAATTAAGGCTGCTACATAATATTTAGAGCAACAATTTGGAGGATTTTTTTATTAACTTCCACATAAATTTGGATGCACTTTAACTGGTTTTCAGTGAAGAAAATGGAGGAAAGAAGACTCATATTATTTTTGAACACCTAATTATTTTGACATAAGCACTGTGGATTAATGTTTGCTGGGACCACTCCAGATGTAAGAAGCCAAATTTGCCATTCTGATTCTAAGACTAAAACAGAGGTTAAAAGCATGAGAGCTGTTTGCAATGATCCTGAGGTCACACAGGAGGAATCCGGTTACCCTCATAGCACAGTATAATTAGATAGTACAAGGGACCTCCGTTACTGCAGAGGCCACTGGACCTCATCACTGGATCGAACGACAGCTCGAGAGAGAACCTGAGAAATTAGTATAATCCTGTCCTTGAAGGGCTTTGTAAACACTGTGGGTTTTCAGTTTCTGATATGAGACTAAAATATCCCTACTAGAATTTAAGTAGCCACAAAGTAAGGACATTTACAGTACGAAGAATAAAGCCCCTGTCCGTCCACAAACTGGTGTGGCTGTGAAAGTCAGTGCATTAGGTTGGCAAAACTTTATACTAAATCAAAATAATATGTGTAGATTGTGTTAAACAAAGTCTTGGGAAAGTGCTTCAGCATTATTTTACAAGCCTCCTTAAAATTCAGATTCCTGGTCTCAACCCCAGAAATGGTGGTTCTGTAGGTCAGGCATGGTTTTCAGGAGCCTCCATTTTAAAAGAACATTTTAGGTGAGTACTCTTATTTGATTACTTTAATTAAAAATGTCATGGATTTAGGGTAATGTATTATACAGCATGCTCTTCAGGTCCTCATTTTCTGGCCAGTAGACTGCTGTAACTTGTAGAAATGAAGAATTTTAGGTATTTCCCTTGACCCACGGACTTGGAATCTACATTTTAACAGGATATCCTGGTAATGTTTTCAAATTAAAAGGATACTTGGAGAAGTAGCTCTTAGTAGACTTATGATGAAGCAAACTATGTATGAGAGAGTTGGATGAAATTAAATTAGACAAATAAGGAGCGTTAGGAATTATAATGAGCTTCCAGTGCCATTCTCACTGACATAAAAGTGAGTTTGAGTTGGTTTCATGGTGGAAAGGTATGGAATTGAACCCAGACAGATTTGCATTGTGCCTTGCATACTGTGTATGGCTAGAAATTTGCAGTATTATGTAACTATTGAGTTCTCCTTTGTAAAGTGTGTTGCTATGAAACTGAGGCAGTATATGGACAAATGTGTATATACGTACAAAGTCCAGGACACAAAAAGTGTGTGTGCATTGCATATGCATGCATGTGTATAAACTCCAGGATACGCAGTGTGTGTATGCGTGCCCACATATGCTCGTCTTTCAAGGGACTCAAAAAACGCTAACTAAAAGCCTCAGCTTCTTGGTATAGGAAAGGAGTGAAAGCTTTGCTGTAAAGAGGTGATTATGCTCATTTATGTTAACACTAGTAGTATTTATACTAAGGTTAAAAAAAAAGTATTGATTCTTCCTACTCTCAAGAAATTTACAAACATAAACACCAAGGAAAAAATTACAAAGTATAATCAATCCAATGATAATTTTCAGGGTACAGTGTGTAATGATTTCTGGGTATGATGTTTTCAGTGTATGATGAGTGTGATACAGAATATATTTACAATGAGGTTTCTTAGGACATTCATCTACTCTCAGTGTATAAGATGAGGAAAGTAGAACCTGGGGAAAGGAAGAATGGTTAGGGGAACACGTATGTCCATTTCCTGTCTATACAGACAGCACTTCGAGAAGCATAGTTGTTCTGATTTGTGCATGCTGTTGCAGCTGTTCTTTGTAATGTGAAAGTTGCAGACACAACCTTCTCAGTTGCATACGTTCTTCCCATTTTTCTAGAAACAGATTGAATATGCTGTTGAGTAGATGAATTTACCTGTTCCTATTGGTGAAGACCCTTAATGCACAGGTTTCCCAGGGGTCACTATCGGAAATGCTACCGAGTTAGAGAGGACGTAAAATTAGTGCCTGGTGTGGCTCTCAAGACAGTTTTTCATAGAGATATTGTACTGTTTTCCATTCTACATCATGTAATTGTAGCTTCTCCACATTCTGTGGTCTTAGTTGAGAAAATAACCCACTTTTAAACAGTCACCACCACATCAAAATTTCTTCCAAGTTTCTGACAGTCACTTATAAGGTACTTTTTAAACCATGATTCTCTCTGCCATGGCAGTTACGCAAACACGGACAGTTATCAAACATTTTATTTCAGATTCATCAGTGCTAGCTCTCTTGTCCTAAAAACCATATAAACAAGCTGCTCTGAGCGATCTTTTTGCCGTGATTGGAAACAAACAAGGAACTGTGGCTCACAGAAGACCCACCTAACGAACGCCTTTGCCCTACACTTTCCTGTTGCACAATCCAGCCCAACCGCCTTGCTGCTGTCTGTGTTGGTGGATTATCTTTGATCCCAGGGCTTATCTGTCTTCCAGCATTTATCATCCAAATGTGCTAAGAAGTGTTTCCTGCATCTATGGGATTGTTAGCACAGCTCCTGCCTGTGCTGACAGTAATGAGGTTCTTATGAGAAACATTCCAGAAACCAGCGTCCCATCCCTTTTATATTACAGCGTGTGTATTATAACTTTGTTGAATAACATAAATCTTCATCATACTTCAGTGAGACAAGGAAGGAAAACAGATGTGCTATTTCTTTAATAAATAAGGAGAACGTTGAAATAATGCTGAGGCATCTAAAGACATTAAAAAGCACTGCTTAGATTATATTTTTACAGGTGTAGAACTGAATAGACCTCAGAGGTCATGTGGCATAATCTTCTTATCCTAGGGGTAAGGAACATGGGAAAGCAGTGACTTCACCCCCAGGGTCACTTGCCTACTAGGCTAGAACCACCAAGTTAGGTCAGATTCTTCTTCACTGCATCTTAGCTAAGTCATTTACTGGTTGGTTTTAGTTCTTTTCGCTTGTAGAGCTAGAAACCTTAGTCTCCAACTAGATCGGAATGACTACACTGAAGATTTCTGTGAAAACATCATAGTTACTAATTCGTATCACCTGATTATCCCCTGGAGAAACTCTGGTTTTCTTGCTGCATGCTAAGGAAGCACTTCTTTTCTCTATAAGATAATAGGTCCATTCCCCATGGTAAACATTGTTTTCTCTATAAAAGAACAAACATTCTGTGTCGTCAAAACAGCGACCACAAAAGAAAACATTTCCTTTTTCCCTAGGAAAAGCTCCTGGTATAAGTGGCAGGGTGTGTCAGAGTACATCTCAGGCACAGAGGCATCATTAGTAAACATTTTGTAAACCTCTGAGCATTCATAATGCAGCATCACTTGCCATATCTGCTTTCATTTAGTTTATAATTTATATGTAAACTCCTG